AAAACCTCATATACGAATACTTCCGTTTTTCTTTGTCTGCTAAAACCCAAATCATTGTTGTCTACCACCAAAACGTATTCATTCTTTTATACTATTCGAATTGGGGCCAAGTTTTCTATATGTTTATAATAAAATATAAATAGGTGACATAATGATCTTAGGTACACGTAATCGTGTTTGAAACGTGTACAATACTGTCTGAAGAATTATAATGGTATGAGTCTTATTGTAGTAATTTCTAGACTTTAATTTATGTATAATAATATGTATTATATTATGTAAGTTTTCTGTACTAATTCATTATTATTAAATATTGAATTTCAACTTGACTATGAACCGCAGCCTTTGCAAATTTATTTGAGCAATAACTATTGTCGAAATTTTATTATATCGATAATTATTTTTAGAATATTACATCGCGAATCAAACGAAACAAATAGTATTTTAATGATATATTTTGATACAAAACGATAATATTTGTTGTTCTTCGTTAAGATAAGTACTATACATTCTTAAAAACGTAGTTCTTTCGTGACTTCCTAATGCGACGTATGCCAACATGAATGAAATGATTCATAGAAAAACATATAAAAAATAAGTATAATATATCATAATAATATAGTTAAACATCGATAGCTCTTCGAACGTTTAAAGTCGTCTTGTCTTAATATTTTTATCGGAAATTATTATAATGCTCAAAACATACAAAAATATATTTTTTATCTTTAAATTAAATTATTTTTAATCACAATGATAATTATGGTAGCCGCGGTTCGTTGTAATTTCCATTTTAAATAACGATGTAGCGCCGCGGGATGTGCAAAGAATATTTATTTATCAAAATGATAACAATATTATAAATGGGTTAATAATTCGCACTGTGCGTGGGCGTATGCGAAATTTAAAGAAGAGCCGGATCACGTTTTGTGGTATGACGGATGAACATTATTTAAGACGCTTGTTGGGTCTTGGTGATGCACGCAGGATTTTGATTAAAAATACTCTACTATATGAAATATATATTATGTGTTTATATTCGTGTTTCATAATCTATACCAGAGGTTCCCAAACTATAGGTCGCGATCATATTTTTAGTGGGTCCGTGGGTCGCGTTATATTTTTAAATAATACCTTTTTTTAGACATATGGTCACCATTGGAATCAAAAAAAGGTTATCAGATAAAAAAACTAGATATGTACACCCATCATGTTATTATGAGTCGCCAAAATTGAAATATTTCCAAAATAGGCCGTACCATAAAAAGTTTGGGAACCTCTGATTTATATGATTTAATAAAAATATATACATTTACACAAATTTTGATTTGTCGATATGTTGAACTCGATAAAGAGATACACAAAAAATAAACAATTATTTTATCGTTATAATATTTTTTTAAGTTCAGATCGTCTTCAAAAAATCATATCACCACTTTTATGTATTATATTATACTTATTTTTATTGGGCTGTTCACAGAATAACAAATTTATGGCCTTCCAAATTTGTATAATATTATTATTTTTATTAATTTTCATTGCAAAATCCAATATGACGGTAGTCCATCTTTCTGATAAAATTCCATTCAAAAGTTGTCGGATAATGTTCTAGTGTTGATAAATCCTGTTCGGCCGTGCGTCCGTTACCCAGCGACCACTTTCACCTTTCCGGCTGGACCTCTCCCGCACACGCATGTCCAACCCCTCCCTCAGACAATCTTGTTATGTTATAATAGTTCGATTGGACACGTATACCTACCATTGAAAACAATTTATCCGTCTAGACATTGGTAACACCATGTATACAGTAGGTTTACAAATAATATAATATAACGTGCTACGGAAACTATTCGAAAAAATGATAATTGAAAATAAAAGGTACACACCTCAGACAAACTGTAAAGGGAATGACGAAATCATAATCTACCAAATTTTGTTGGCCGTCAAATAATAATGATAATAGTAATAGTAAATCATAATATATAATATTTAACACGATTTTGCTAGCGAAGGCCGAATCAGTTTGTTGGATAATTAAACACCGTCAAGTGCCATATGCATGTAATATACTGTAACTTTTTCAACTTTGTAAATAAATAATATATACTTACTTATAAATTGTAAATGCGTCCAAAATTAAGGTTATAGAATTGTTGTTTATTAAATATTATCATGATGACGCGTATTTGTCGTAATTTGTTATTTAAGAGCATTTCGATTTTTCCGTTCGATTCGATTTAATTATCTATTTTTTTCAACAATATGAACTTTTGGTTGGAAAGTTGCCAAACCTATTTGTTCCTTAACCCTCAATTTTCGGGAGCCCTGTAGTAAAAGGAAATGATTTATGCTTTTGGCGTGATTCGTACACTTTTTGTGACTGGGTTAGGTTGCCAGCTTTTTAGAGAAACTTTTTCGTGAGCCTTTTAGTATTTTCAGCCTTTCTATAACACTTAAATAATTATAGTATTTTACTTTAAACGCCATTTAATAAGTATAGAATAAAATAATTTTATATTTTATATTTCTATACTCGGCTGGCAAAATAAAAAAAATAATAATAATAAAAAACACGAAAGTTTTATACAATTTCTAAACACATGATAAATGTGGAAAATTGCAAATAGTTATTTTAAAATAGATATGTATACCTAATAATAAATCATTTTATTGAAAAAATATATACGATTCCGAATGTATAAAATAATGATCAGCGCATCTATTTCTAAAAATAAATTATTTGTAAGTATTAACTTAAAAATTAATTCCTACCTCGACGTAAGAAAAAAATTACCTTGTGTTAATGATTCGTTCGCAATGCAATATACATCAGTTAAAATACTTGGAAAATTGCATGATATGTCTTTTAAAAAATATTAAGTAGTAGTGAAATATTTCAATATACTCGTAATTTAAATTAAAAGAAATTAATCGTAATCATTATTTTACATTTTTATATACAATTTGACAAAACTCTTATGTAAATAAAATATTGTGATTGTGATCTTAAGAATTTGAACTATGATCATAAAAGCTGTTTTAATTTTTTTCAAATAATGAAAAGAAAAATACCGACTGGATAAAATATTGTCATGTTTATTTATATTTTTATTTAAACTAACAATAAATATAATTTTATAAGTTGTATCTAAATTAATAAACTTTATTATTTTTTTAAAATAATTATTTTATAAATACTTGGTTTAAGCATAACTAATTTATATGTTTTAAAAAGTATCAAATAAATTATTTTATATATTATAACAACATTAAAAAAAATTTGAATTGATTTTAAGTGATGATCAATATTGTGAAATAGAAAATTTTTTTTTTAGGTATTTAACATAAGATAATTCAATTTCCGGTAGTTTTGAGACGAATTTAACCTTGTGACACAAATAAGTCGAATATATATATATGTGTTTTATGTTAAGAAACACTATAACACAATTATACCTAACCGCCTTGACTTGACTTAAGTCATAAATAATTTTGACAAATTATTGAAATTCGTCAGTCAGTAGATCAGTTAAATGTGTTTATTATACAATTCTTTTATTCCTTTCACAGATGATGACACTAGTCATTTTCTAGTGCACCTATAGTCGAAAAGAAATTGTATTATGATGCACACTAAATGGTGGTTAGTCATTAGCGACACGCTATAATATACCAATTGGTGGTTTTCATTGGTATAGAATTCAATACTTCAATTGTGATTTAAATTTTAAATGGTTTTGTTTATTATATATACTTTTGACCTCATTTAGTTAAAAATTATCACTCAGATTAGAAAGATCCAATTAGCAGATTTTTACAAATTCGTCAAGTTCATAACGTACTACACTTCTATAATAATAAATGATATAGGTATTGTTTGTTTGAGTTTATATAGCATTAGAAAGAGATTACGTCTATATTATTTAGGCTGAAGTTCATCGATATATGAAAAGTAGTTATTACTCAATTTGTAAATCTACTATATCCCAAAACGGTCTACAGTTGTTTTATGTCTTATTATCTGATGGACAGCTTTCTATACGGGTTCTGTATTCAGCTTCTTTACAGGGCTATTTTGTTTTTATTTAAGATAAGACAAATATAATATATATGCATATTGCTATTAGTAATTAATTCTTTAATAAGGTAGGTTGAACTAATTTATTTATATTATACTATAATTATTAAATATTACTTGCACTTATTAAGTGCAAATTTAATATAACTGCTTACCATTTAGTGGAGTCAATAAATTCGTGATAAAAATAGCTTAAATTAATTTAAATATATTAAATATAGCACCGTGTTAAGTGAATAATAATATATTTTTTAAACTACTGGAAAATGTTTAAAAAAATTGTTTTTACTTTTTTAAGATATTTAGGTTTTTGTAAGAAACTAACAACACGTATGAAAAATCATGCATTAGGTTATTAACATGAAATTATTATATTATGCATTTTTAATTAAAAATTAATTTATTTATTGACGAATTTTCCAAAACATTTTCAGCGTTGTTCTATTAACGCTTATAAAATAATTGTGACATGTATTTTAGATATTTCTTGATAATAATAAACTTTAAGCACAAATAGTTTTTTGTTTTCTATTACATTATTTAAATCTTTATAAAATTTAAAATAATATTAATATTATTTTCCATCACATTGATAACACCAACATTTGTAATTTATTTATAATTATGGTTAAGCATTTTAAATATTTGATTGAATTTGGATTATCTAGCTGTATATTATCATTAACATATATATATATATGCCGACATAATTCTTTTTGACGCCATTCTCATTAGTCTCATATTATAGTTAAAAATATACTGCTGGGGTGTTAGATGGACCTTACGTCCTTACTTGCTTAAATAAAATCTAATTTACTAATCTACAATATTATTTTATACACTTTATATTATAATAAATATAACTACTCCGTTTGTTTCTTAAATAATTTTTTATACGTCAATTAATCTCAAATAAATTTTATAGATTTGACATGGTAGTAGTGTCTGTGGAAATCTGAGTGATAACGGGGACTACGGGGACATGTCGACAACTAGTGGCGGTGACACTGAATACATGCAAGAAAACTCGGTGAACTCGGTGACTACCTTATACAACGGCGATCATACGGTTGTCAACCATAGAGTGACGCCACCGTCTTCGTCCAATGCCGACAGTGGTTTAGATAATTCTTATCCAGAGTCATCCGCTGGCGACGCTAAACTTATTATAGACGTGCCCGACTTTTCCAAAGGTATTTTTGGTATTTTTGTATAATACAATTAACTTTTAATATGAAAAATGTTGAAAATTTATTTGATATTCCCAACTTATATATTTTACTCTGAGCTTATGAGATTTTCATAATACTTAATATAATAGTAGGCCCATATGTTAAAACAAATTTTATATTGAATTAAATAAATTTCTTTAAATATTTACAAAAATATCCTTTGATGTGTAAATGATATTGTATGCATTTCTACTTTTTATAGAAATGGAAACACCACGCACGGGTATTGATAACCCTAGCTTTGAGACTGATAAAACTGATGTACCAAAACCTATAACTAACGGGCATAATGGTACCGTTAATCACGAAAAGGATAAAATGGCTGAAGCTGTGAATTTAGAATTAATTAATATGAAACCGTTTGCTAAAAGCATTAATGGCAAAGAAAATGGAGTACCCAAGAAAAAAAAAGAAACTGCTGTCAATATGAACGATACATACGATGACTATTTTATCCCTGTAAATGAACACAAAAAATACATTAGGTTAGTGTTTTCCATGAATAACGAATTAACTTTGATGAATTATAATTTTTATAACCGTTATATATTTATGATTTATCACAGAGGCGGAGAAAAACTGTATGTAACCAAAGATAAACGAGATATGAATCAATCTAAAAAACCATTTATTTGTTGGGTGTTTGGCCTAGTCTTATTGGCTGCTGCTGTCATTATCGCAATTTTAGCGTCAAGTAAGTTAAATCGATTTAAATTATAAATCGAAAATTAATCTTATGTTTTTTAGCTGGTGTAATATTCAATAATGAAACTGCAGTGGAAAGTAGGAATTTCATGGAGAATGAGAAAATCGCTGGTTTTGGTAATCACCATGGACATTTCTCATCAGTCAGCCCACCTCCTAGTATAGATAGCTCGAGTCCATTCAATCCTCCGACTACTGATATGTCAGGAGTGTACCTTCCTAGAACCGTGCAAGGTGAAATTGTTATTGATAATTTGGTATTTACTCCTGGCTTAGCAAACAAATCATCTACAGAATTTATAACATTAGCTAGTTCAATCGAAACCGAGGTAATTTGTCCTTAAATTTAAAATTTTATTTTTACAATAATATTTCCTATGCTTTCAGCTAAAAAATGCTCTTTTTAAAAACCAACCATCAAATAGTGTTGCTGATGATATACATATTAAAGTCTTAGAATTTTCGTGAGTATTTTTTTAAATTGTAGATTTAAACGAAATTTCAATAAACTAACTATTTATTTGTTCTATAGTTCTGGAAGTGTAGTAGCTAAGTATAGAATAGGCTGGGAATATAAAGATGACAGTGAACCACAGGATCTCATTGATGCAGTTACTCTTAAAACTCGATTGGATAGTTTTATAAGAGAGTCTAATGGATTTTTATACAATTATAAAGTTCCTATCCATAGATTGCGCTCAGATCGTAAGTAAAAATAAACATTAGGTATCTACATTTTTTTATGAATAATAAAATATTTTAACCTTATTTATTATATTTATAGCTGTTATGGATAAATGCAAAATAAATAACGGAAAATGTTCCCATTACTGTTCTTACGATTATAAAAGTTTAGATTTTGTATGTTCATGTCCGTCTGAACTCACTATAAGTGAGAATATGAAAGACTGCAAACGGATTAGTAAAGGTATATAAACAATTAAAAGTGTTTAAAATCTATATTATATAAATATGTATTTTTTTTTTTTTTAGATATTAATAATGATGATATAGATGATATTAATGTCCATGATGATAAACATGACGAAGATAGCTTTGACACTAAGTCCGATTACGATTCATTTTCGGAACTTGAACCTAGTTCGGTACCTGAATCTAAATCAGAAGTAGAGTCTGAATTAAAGCCAGAACCGGAACCTAGTTCAGAACCAGAAGGAAAAGTTGAACCAGAGCCAAATACTGTTCCTGAAGTAGAACCTGAACCAAACCCAAGTTCAGAATCTGAAGGAAAAGCGGAACCAGAGCCAAATACTGTTCCCAAAGTAGAACCTGAACCAAAGCCAAGTTCAGAATCTGAAGGAAAAGCGGAACCAGAGCCAAATACCGTTCCCGAAGTAGAACCTGAACCAAAGCCAAGTTCAGAATCTGATATCGTTGGAGAATTGGTGCCTAGTACAGAATCAGAAGTAAAAGCAGAACCAACACCAAGTTCAGTTCTCGAAGTCAAACCTGAATCTGAACCTATTTCTGAATCAGAAGTAAAAGCAGAGCCAGAGCCAAATTCAGTATCAGAAGTCAAAGCTGAACCAGAGCCAAATACCGTTCCCGAAGTCGAACCTGAACCAAAGCCAAATACAGAATCTGAAATTGTTGCAGAATTAATGCCTAGTACAGAATCAGAAGTAAAAGCAGAACTAATGCCAAGTTCAGTTCCTGAAGTCAAACCTGAACCTACTTCTGAATCAGAAGTAAAAGCAGAGCCAGAACCAAATTCAGTATCAGAAGTTAAAGCTGAACCAGAGCCTAGTTCCAAATCTGAACCAGAGCCTAGTCCCAAATCTGAACCAGAGCCTAGTCCCAAATCTGAACCAGAGCCAAGTTTAATATCTGAAGTCAAAGCTGAACCAGAGCCTAGTTCGGAACCAGAAGTAAAAGTAGGACCAGAACCTAGTCCAAAACCAATAGTAAAAGTAGAATCAGAAATTGGCACAAAAATTGAACCTGATTCTAAACCAGAACCAGTACCTAGTGCAGAGTCAGATTCAAAAAGTTCTATTGACAATTATGAAACGTTGTCAGATGTTGACATTAGTTCTGAATCAGATACTGTAGAACAAAATAATAACCCATCTTCGAGTTCTTCATCAGAAAAACCAATTTTAAATATTGATCAATCTGATAGAGAAGCAAAATCACATTCAGATGAAGTATTCAGTCACGAAATCAAGCCAGAAGTAACTTACAGTGTATCAACAGAAACTGAATTTGAAACAAAAACAGAGTTGGCATTTAAAGATAACTCTAAACCTAAAGAAAGTTCTGAATTATTAGGAGATATTGATTTGAATGATCCAGAAGAATCTACTGTAATTCCATCGATAACTGAAAACTGGTTGACTACTACTCTATCTAGTATTCCTAGCATTCCTAAATTACCTAGTGATTTGGAAGTAACAGAAAAAGAAAATGGATCTACAGAAGAAAAAGTGAAGACAGAGGCTTTAGGTTTTGAACAGATGGAATTGAAATCTGAAAATAAATCTACTATTATTGATTTAATGTCTGAATCCCATAGTAAAAGTCCAATTGAAGAAATAATAACTGAAATACCAGAAACAACTATTTCAGGTAATGTAAAAGATTTATTAGGTGTAGTAACAGTTTCAACTATAGATGTAAGTTCAACCATCAAAGAAGATATGAATTTACCTATGAAAGAATTGGAAAATATTTCAAATGAACATGTTACTGAATACATTTATATGACCACTATGCCTTCAACAATAGATCAAGAACTAGTTATGCCATTACATAGTTCAGAAAACCCAAATTCCTTAGAAAAAAATAATTCAAATGATTTGACAAATTTAGAAAAAACTAATATACCCGACCCTACTAAAAAGTTACAATCTTTAACATCCCTGGAAGATCAGGTAACTAATTCACCTCATATTGAAGTTTTAAGTACTTCTACACAAAGTAATATGGATAATTTCAACGAAAATAGTTCACCTGATGAACAAGATACGATTTTAACACACTCAAATGAATCAAACTTATCAGATGTTGTTAATGAAAACGATAATATGAGTGCATTAGATTTATACCAAAAACCAGAATCAAAGAAAAAAGACAAAAAGACTTCTAAAAATCCTGAATTTTATTTATCTGATAGTGGATTTACAAAAAGAAACAAAATAAAAACAGAAAAAGAAAACAAAAAAAATAATAAATCTGATGCTATGGATATGATGACAGAATTATTAAATTCCAACAAATGTGAAGAAGGACAATTCCAGTGTATAAATGGTACAACCAAAGATGGTTCATATTGTATAAAAATGTCGTCAAGATGTGATACAAATAAAGATTGTACTGATAACTCAGACGAATATGACTGTGCTGAAAATTCTTGTGCTGGAAATTTCCTGGTAATAAAAATATAATTAATTCAATATTTGATCTTTTAATTAATCAGTATTATTTTTTATTAGTGTAAAAGTGGAGAATGTCTACAAAGAAACCTGGTTTGCAATAATATAATGGAATGTGAAGATGGCAGTGATGAACAATCTTGTGGTTAGTGTACTACATATACATCTAAAATATGTTTTTAATTATTTTTAAATTCATACAAAAATATGTTATTAATATGATATTGTTTATATAATAGATTTATGGAAGTGTGCTAATGATGAAAAACAATGTACTGGTGGTCAATGTTTACCAGAAGCCTATTTTTGTGATGGAAAATCTGATTGTAATGACCATTCAGATGAGCTACAATGCAACAGTAATACTATTTATAATATAAATGTGAAAACAAATATTAAATTATGACATTTATATGATTGTTTATGATAGGTACTTGTAATGGGTATCAATGTTCAAACAGCTATTGCATATCGAGTACTTTACGATGCAATGGAGTAAATGATTGTAGTGGAGGAGAGGACGAACAAAATTGTGGTATGTACAAATTATAGTATTAATTATTTAAACCTAATACTAATTACTATATTATTAATAATAAACCTGAGAAATTATTAGAATTTTGGTTAAGTAACTACTAAAAATGTATTATTCTTTATGATGCAAATGTGTATATAATATTCAAAAACTATTTAAAATGATTATGTTAGTTACAAAGAACCATTGTGTTTGCTATTGTCACAAATGTTTATATAAAAATTATAACCTATTTAATTAAATTAAATAAATAATATTTATACATACTATGGTTTATTTTTAGAATGTAGTTCCAATGAATTTAAATGTAATACGGGTTCAGAATGTATTCCAAAAACCCAAATTTGTGATAATGTACCACAGTGCACAGACCAAAGTGATGAATGGCAGTGTGTTCAACTTGATGGTGTTCAACTTTTTGCAAAGTATTTTATTTTTCATTAATACATATATATTTATATTTATAAATAATTAATTTATGTTAATTAATAGAAAAGAAAGTGAAATAGCTATGAAAGTATGCAGTAATGATTGGTCAGAAACATGGAGCAACTTTGTGTGTCAAAGTCTTGGATTTACTGAAACAAAAACAACTAATTTCCGATCAAATGAAAACTCTACTGAAAACTTAGTGGGGTATCTTAAATTGAAACAGAATTCAACTTTAAATAGTTCTAAGAGTTTGACGGGATATCTTGAACCAGCTTTAACGTCTTGTGAGACTGTAGAAATTAAATGTTCTTCTAAACACTGTAAGACTTAATTTTATATTATTGTAATTTTATATTTAAATGTTAACCTAATTTTTTAGTATGTGGAGATTTTGGGGGCAAAGATCCATTATCAATGGAAATGTGGCCTTCTGTTGTCTACCTTCATAACACTTTAACCCATAAGTCATGTACATCTAGTCTTGTAAAACGGAATTGGATATTATCGTCTTATAGCTGTGTACATTCCATGTTAGTACATAGTTTTATTAAAACAAAAATAAATTAATGGTAATTATTTAATCTTATACATTCTATTGTTTTTATTTTAGTGATGAATCTCTATCGCCTGAACAATGGGAAGTAATTTCAAGCAAATCTCGAGTAGCCAATGAACAGAATTTAACAAAAAGATCAGTTTCTAGAATAATTAGTCATCCTGGAGTAAAATTCGAGAAATTGCGCTATTTCAATGACTCAGTTTTAGTAGAACTTAGTACACCATATGATTTATCAGAAGAAGTTAATACAATTTGTCTACCTGAAAAAGTTGTTGATAACAAACAACCATGTGTCACTGCCAGTTGGTCTTATGAGTCTCCAGGAGGTATGAAATGTGTATTACTATGTTATTACAAAAGTCAGAATAAAAAAAAATTATAAGAAATGTAAAAATGTTTTTTTTATCATTCAGTCTTTTTTTTTATTTTTACATATTAATTTTTATAATTACAGTTTTCAAACAATTTTCACGCTCTTTATCTGAACCATTAATGCAAACAGATTTGTGCAACTCAACAAAGCACTTTAATGGTTTCCTGACAGAACAGGAAATTTGTGTTGCTTCAGGAGAAATGGAAGCCAGTAATGTAAGTATTATTTTCATAATATAATAATATTCATGTACCAACAAGTAACAATAGATACACTCACTGTACCTGATACAGTGTTTTTGGTAAAAATATTAAATTAAAGTGTATTTTATATTCAATATTGTACAAAGTGAATGTTTCAAAAATTATAAAAATTTTATATGCAAAGGTACAAATGTATCATAATACCTCAGTATAGTACAACCTATAGTAATTAACTCAAAATATTTGAAATAAGTAATCAAAAATCAACATGAAATATAATATAGGTTTGACATGTCACGTTAGTATATTATATTATGATATTAAAAAAACAAAAAAAACAAAAAAAAACATATTATTTAATCAGATCATTCATGAAATGTTTATTATAAGTTATAACAATAGCTTCGTAAAATTTATTATTATGAATTTACTTTTCAGGTACTAAAAGACAGTTGTATATACTTTAAATAATGTTAATGTTGTTGTAATGTTTGTGAAAAAAAAAAATTGAAATACATTCAAACTATTAAAATATTATAGAGAAATAAATAAATTATAATAGCTTTTAAAATTTTACAACCATTGTCTACTGTTTTTAAAATTATATTGAAATTACTATTACTTATAATAAGTAATTATATTATGTTCATACTTATTTATAGAAATACATTTCTGTTTACAATTAAATTAAATGAATGAGGTTGTCACAAATATAAAATTATATTTCAAATTTAATTTCTACAGCTGTATATTTTATTTTTATTTCTCAGTTAACATATAGATATTGATTTAATGTTAATGGTATTGCTTAGTCAATATCTTTTTTTACAATAAATAATACACACACACACACTAATCTAAAAAATAACATGTTTGAATTAAAGTTGTCTTTAATTTGACAAGAAAAAAAAATACCATCCATTTTTATTAAAATTAAGTATCTAATTTAAAATGAATATGATAAAATTACCTCTGTGTTTAAATAAACTCATGAAATTTTTTTAAATTAAAACATCTGTAGTATCTAATAACAGTAATATTATATGTGAATTTATGATTAAACCTTATAGTTTTTTTTTTAAATTGAATTGAATTGAATTGTATATTTTATATATTTTATAAAATAATATTGTGTGAACAAAAATCTTGTAAAATGCAATATTATGTATGTCATCTATATTAAAATTTATCAAGGATATGTTTAATTTTTAATTATACATAGTCATTTTGCTATTTATAATTCATTTACTATGTTTAAAAATTACATGGCTCATTGAAAAATAGAAAACAAAATTCGTTCTAGATTTTTTTTTTTTTATTATTTAATTATATATTGTTGCTTTTTTATAGATGGAAATCGGATCACCGTTAATGTGTTTGGCAGAAAATGGATTGTGGCAGGTACAAGGCATGCTCAGTTACCGAGGTGGTTATGGTCGGTCTTCTAAACCATCTCTTTACAACGCAATTGTAGAATCTGTACCATGGATAGAGAACACAATAGCATTTGGTGTCTAACATGTTCTCTTGGTCAGTTCCCCGTGGGCCTAAATGATTAATATTGTAAAAGTATTTAATAATAATAATGAAATGACGACCGTTATATTATTATCTATAGTGTCGTAATTTATACTTTTTTAAAAGGGATATTATATTTGTACAATATAATATAATGTAATGTTTTTGATATTTTAATTACCCACTTTAAATTTTTTTTTTTACTTATGTTTTAAGATAAATTACTTATTTAAACTTATCTAATTATTATATGGTACATTATCTATACAGTTAATTAATATTTAAATTCATAGGCTTTTATAATACGGCATGTTTTTGACACGAGTATACAGTGAGTTGCCATATAGTAATATTATTCATGTCTGTAAAATATTATCCGTCCATTTATTATTATTATTATTATTTTGTATTTTATTATTAACCAGTATAATAGTATATACGAACATGTTCCTTCGGTTGACCGTTTACATTGTTTCGTGTGTTGGAAACGCGATCATATTATAAACTTTATTAGTACCGTTTAAACGACTGTATGTCAGTCGTACAACGGTCTCATCAACGTAAACGCTCATTAAATCCAAAATTATATCTTTTATACTTGTTTATAATTATTATAACATTTTTGTAGTTGTGCTCAAGAATATTTTATTTTAATATATTATTATTTTATAAGTGATGTGATTTGTTTTATAGCTTGATACACTTTGATGTATCAACATTTATATGTATATATTATATGTATAATCATAAAATAATGCATATTAATATATTATACAGAACTACCAATATTACGTTAGATTTTTCTATAAAAATATACTCAATAATAAAATTAAATAGATGTATTATATTAATTGTATGATTTAAAAATTAAAATAAAGTTGATTTACATACTATTTACTTTATTAAATTTTATGGAATTATTTAATGTATTTGTTATTTTGATTATTACTGTATGATCATTATTATTGATAATAATGAAAAATGAGGTAACCTATACTTATCATTATTATTTTTTTAAAACAGATATAAGTATAACATAATACTTAACATGTTTTGTTTGACCATAAAGATAATAATTTTAATCATTGAGTATAATGTAAAGAAGTAAAAAAAAAAACAGTATTTTATTTTTATTTTTCAAAAAGAAAAAGAAAATGAATATTTGATTTTTTTTTTTTTTTTTTAATAGATTATAAATGGTATCTATTTGCCATTTTGAATATTATTATCCATGTTATATTTAAATTTTGTAGTTTTTAAATATATTTATTCAAGGTATTATTTTTAAATAGACAATATAAAATGATCGACTACCACTTAGATTTAAATATTTAATGTTTAGTGACATGCATATAGTGGTATACTGGTATTAGATCACATTGTTGCATACGCGGGCTAAATTTTTTCTGTTCAATAATAATAATATTTTCAGTAAATTATTAATTACTAAATACATATTATCATTATATTAAAAATTCATAGAATTTTTTTTTACACTTTATTGAAGAATATATTAATTATTAATTTATTACAAACGAGTTAATTTATCATAAAAGTTATTGATTTTTTTGATATTTTTGTGATTATTATACATGTAATATGTGGTAATGATTAGAGATAATTATTTTATACATAAACAAAATGAATTATTTTTAATAACTTAAGAATTATTTATAAGGGCTACCTCCATTACCCCCTACTACCAACCATTAATTAGGGGTTCACTTGTTTAATTTTACTCACTTATACTTGAGCTGGATCCATTGAATCTGACTCCCAGGCTCCTGCATGATAGTGTCAGTGTGGAGCAATTATCATTTAAGTCATAGTAGTGTGGAATACAAAGTATTTTGATTTATGATTCGTGTCTATAGAAGCGTATGAAACTATACATTTACTTTAACAAGGAACTTGTGTGATTTATAAGTAACTGCATTTTACCTGGATGCAGCGTGTAATATTCTGGTAACAAGTAACACTTGTTATTGTGCCGGAGGTGCAGATCAAGACTCGTTTCTTCATTTTAAAATACTGCATTGAGCGATTAAATATGTAAATGGTTTGACGTTCGACGGTTGATTGGAGATTTAGATTCATGATCGAAATTTTGTCGCAATGTATAATATTATTAATGATTATACATAGATACCTACCAATGGCGGGTTCAAAGAGGGGTGGCGAAGAGGTGCTCCCCGTAAGCTGGTTTTATTTAGAAATAAATAAAGATATTAGTTGATAACTTTAATTTTTTTCTATTTTTCCCATTTTATAGTGAAACTTACACATATATGTTATTTTAATATTCGCCCCTTCCCCCGTTATCTCGGGCTGGATCCGCCTATGATACCTATGCATTTTCGGATTCGAAATTCGAATAAAATGAAGATGAGCAATTAAAACGGCTACGGCGCGCATTTTTAAAAAACTGATGGACAGAAAATATCGTCTTGTTGGTTGTGATTATACCAATGTCGGACAGCAATACGCAATATAAGCTTAGAATCTCAAGGGATTTCGCTGATAAATTATGTTTCAATGACAACTTCCTGAATAAGTCCGTTTAAGAATTTCATAGTGTAGCTTACGGTAAGCCGAGACAATCGTCGCATCACATAAGTATATCATTCATATCAATGTTTAAGCGTTTAAGGTACCTACTATTCCACCATCTCTGTATTCTGTCTATACCATTTAAACTGTGTTCGCGTAGATAACACGTTACCATAATATAACAAAATTTAATTGAAAATATTCAACTACTTCAGTCAAAGGTTAGGTAGTTATTAATGATTAAATAAAATATCATCTATGAATAATTTAGTTTAATTTTGGGAATAACAAGAAAATTCTGAATACAGAATATGTGTATAGTGAAATAGTACCTTTACGGTATCCATCACCTTATTGGTGCTATGGGTTACGGTAACCGCGATATTTTTCGTTGTTCATCAATCTCCGACCAATGGTCAACTGTTATTTTTTGTTTTATTTGCATTCATATCGCCACCCTGTCCGATTCACAAATATGTTACATGTTATCAAATCTTTCTCATTGCTTATTCAAAAACCAAAATGTTATATTTCGTATAAATTGGTATGCTGAGCAATAAAATCCCAATTGTAAATTTAAATTTATAATTAACCATTTTCACTTCGAGTTTCGAAAGTACATATTTGATGTAGAAGTTTGTGTGGTGCATCACAATTCCGGTGAAACATATCGCATTTGGTTTGATTAAACACACCGTCCGTTTGCTGAAGATTATTTGTTGCGACTCGTTGATAACTCCAAAAAGGTAGGATTCACAATTCTGACTTATATTATTAAAAAGTTACTTGTATAAATAACGATGACAATTTTACACGCACCTACGATACTCGGTATTTATATTGTATTTACACATAGTATGTGGATATTGTATATTGGATAGGTTTAGAAAATTCAAGTAAAATTGAGGAAATAGGTAGTCAGGTGACATATTAAAAAATTAATTATTATATATTTTCCTTAGTTCTATATATTCTGACATAAACTAGATCTTCAGTGTTATTGTGACTATTATTATATACCTACATACTTTATTATAGACGTACTTATCAACCATTTTATGCTTATGATTCGTGTGTAATGTATACGCAGATAGTCTACCAAATTATTGATAATAAATATCCAAAATTCAAGTAAATAGTCGACAATCAATATATAGTAATAAAAAAATTTCTATACATTTATAAAGGTATTGAATCACTAAAATGTTGGTCTCTCTGGTATGCAATAAATAATAGCTATTAAGGGTATATGATAAATTAAAAAAGGGGTATATCTGGTTAAATTCCATGAAAAGAGAAGAACATACAAAATATAGATTAAGACCTTTACGTGTATTACTTTTTATATTACATAACAATATTAAATAGTTTACTTTAGTGTGGGTACTAAAAAATAGTGTAAGGTACAGTCAGTACTTAGTAGTATGTCATATTACCAGAAATCCTAAAAATCCCTAAGAGAAATTTTCTAATACGTTTAGAGTATCTTTTTCTAGTGGAAATAATATTATGGTTCCTAAACATTTAAGCATCTTCTTATAACTGCATATGTTACCGATAATTAGAGCCTAGAAATGATGGGTATGGTACAATCGGCCGACAGACATTTGGCTGACACGCAATAGGCCGACATACTAAATGGCCGACACGCGTTGGGCTGAAATTAAGTAATTTTATGTTGAGATAGCTAAATTATGCACACTCACACACACACACACTCACACACACACACACACACACACACACACATATATATAGGTGATACTTATTCTTAAAAATAAAATATAATGTATTATTAATAATTATATGTACATTTTATATTCCTAATATATTTTAAAAATTCAAAAAATTTGATATTTATATATAAAAATAAAAAATACTAATAAATTATTATTGATAATTATGTTATACGTATAGTTAAATATTTACAGGCTATAAGTATTAGGTATCGTTAAATTTCGATAAGTTATCGATAACATTATGATTTATGACAATAACGACGTGGTTAACGAATCAACTGAAACAGCGTATTTATGAACTTGCAATACCCACTGTAGATTATAGTTATATTTACAGGCTATAGGTAATAGGTATCGTTAAATTATGACAACAAAAGACAGCACTACGTTATCAAATTGAAAATTTATAGTTTATACTTAATTTATTTTAGTGTCAGCCTTTTGACCTCGTCGGCTAAAATACTTTCGGCTATCTGACTGTCGGCCTATATAGCCGTCAGCCGTTTGGATTCGGCCGGATGTCCGTATCCCAGAAATGATACATCTGCAATTATTATTATTTTACTAATACCTACGTTTTCGTCAACAGAAGTTAAATTTTTGTGAAATAAAATACAATGATACAATATTTTGAAAATTTAATTTATATTAAGATTAAAATTCATATTTAGGAAAAAATGTGTACCTTATACGTAGTTTTCGACAATATTTGGTCATGTAATGCATTTTTGTACTTTCAAAGGAAATATATTGCATTTTTTTTAGTGACGGGTAGTATAGTAGCAGAACGTTTAAATAGTTAGTGGTTTGAGTGTAAG